TTTTTAAAAGCCACGTTTCAAAGCCAAATACCAAAGCAAACTACTATGCAGCACACTCATTTTGTGATTAGATGATAGACAACCCATCTATAGCAAAGGTCAGGTAAGTTGTCAAAGCCAACCTATCTTTCTGAATTGATTAACCTGTACTTTACCAATGTCTTTACCAAAGTATCGATTCTATTTCAAGTAGCAAAACTTTTTCTTGAGCGGATCCAGATTAACGATAAATAACTTTAAAATATATTGTCCACTACTTTTAGCGAGTTTGGGCTAGCTGCGAAGATCCAATCAAGTTGCTACATACTCTCCATAAAAATAAAACAATAAATAAAATAGCAAACCTGGGTAACAGCCTGATCATTGACCAAGTGTCAAGATTATTGCGTTTGTCAAAACTGGAATCAAAATATGGAGTTTTCAGGATATCATTGGCAACTCTGTTCCATATTTTGTCATGAATCAAGGTATCGAAAATTGAAAGTCTGTGATAACAGTATTGAGGAAATTAAGTGCAACTTACTTTAATTCAACTAGAGCTTTAGAAATTTTATGTTTCTGTGAAAATGATTCGTTCATATTCTCGTAATAATAATCTTTGCAACAACAGTTATACCTGATTTCAAAACCATAAGGGATTTAAGTCGACAAATTTCAACCATTTACTCAAAAAACTAGTGAGTTCGCTCTACCATAATCCCATCAAAAAATGTAATGATATAGTGGTGCTTCCAGAAATTATATGAAAAACACGCATTATATCACTCATCTGACTTTTAACCACAAATTTGAAGATTAATATTAAACCGATCAGTTATCTACAATTTAAAACCTCTTGTTACTGCAGCCTTAGTGTCACAATATGTAGGAATAAACAATAAAATCTAAATAGTATTACCATATCTCAAACAATATCATTTATCTGAGTAACAATATAATATAAAATTAATGAGTGTTTACAGAAAACAGACTAAACCGTGCAGTGATAACAGTGTTTATAGTCATCAACATGCGATCTTTCAAATGGGTAGTTGAATTCAATACATGCTAAATGATCAAAACACTAATCGGTTCTGGTTTGTTTCGTCATATACCTAACATATTGTTCCAGAAGCAAAGGTTCAGAAGTCGTTGTAACTTATCGAGACGATGTGATACTAACATTCAATCCAAATAGAAATTTATCTCCATGAAACCCATTAGAGATTCGATTAAGTTCTATTTCATATTTTATGCTCAACATATATGTACGATGCATAAACATACGTCGGTAGCCTTAAATCGGTTAATACGCATATTTTCAAAACATAAAGATGATAATGAGCAAACTTAAGGCATGGCAACTAAAATAATAGCGTTCTACAAAGAGGAAAAAACAATCCATCAGAAAACATTCATTTCGAAAAATCAGGACGCCCCATACAGACACAGTGGAAAAGAACTGAAGTAATATGATGCATAATGTTTGATGTTAAAATACCAAACGTGTTAGGAACTTCATTATAATAAATCAGATTTTAAAAAGTGAAATTTCTGAATAAATAATACAAATAATACAAATTTCAATTCATTTCTAATTTTAAAAATTCAACTCTAGCATGTGTGCAGAAGTAAAAAGAACTCTAGAGAGTGAACCACATTCAAGCAGCGCACTTCAACACCATGTACACAACGTAAACTTCTCGTGTTGTTGATTTAATAAAACTAAAATATCCACAGTTTGACTTCACCATACAAAGCGTAGTAAATAGAGAAAGTAAAGTTTCAGAATCATACACATGTGCATTTTTTTCCACTCAGACGAAACATGCAGCCTGATTCCAGATATCCTGGAATGTAATGTTGAAGTCTGTGGATGGGCTGTCACATTCCGATAACTTAACTTTATTGGCAATAATGTTTGATTGTCTCAGCACATGCTGAGATACGATCTGCGCGTGAACTATTTTAGATAATTTTAACTCACTTGTAGCAGTAAACAGGTCCCCAAAATAAATAGCTCCGTAAGTTTTCGACATCGGATGTTGACCACCTTAGTTTTAATGGGCTCAACTAGTAGAAGCCCCTCGGTCATGTATCCGCACCAGATCACGAGTGGGAACGTCGTGCTCAACAACCCCTGCAATCGCAAGCCAGATAAGATCGGACGATCCTCGAAATATTGATAGCCTATCAAATATATCTTCGAAACTCCTCGCTTCTGTCTTTTGAATTCACTTGTTGGGTACGCTTCATGTTAGAGTTTGTTACTGATTAAAGCGTTGTCAAACTCCGAATACTTGTGTCATCTTCAAACCCAAGTGGAGTTGATTGAAAAGGAGAGAGACACGTCACAATTTGTCCCGTTAACATAGTACGTCGTATACTGCATTTTTCCGTTAAGTCAGTGGTCATATAAGTCATTTTCACCCAGTTACCTTTGAATATCAACTCACAAATTGATAGTGACCTCTTTTTATATTAGTGCTAGACTTTACTTTTAGGATATATGGGTCTGGTGTTTGAGTTCAAAAGTAATTCCTTTGAATGTAACTCCGCCCTTAATCTAAACTCTAAATGCAGTGCATTCAGCTGCTATTTCAATATTTGTCTCAACTTCAGTGCTGGTTTATACATGAATATGAGACATTAAACTTGATGTTAAAGGCAGCAAAAGTTTGACTCATTTCCTCGAATTTATTGAAATAAATGGAAAAAGTAAGATGAAAAATTTGGCGCTCTCAGATAAATCGATTTTCCTCTTATATGAAACCCTCAAAGAACTAATATCAATCATATCAAGTTCACGAACTTTGAGATCCGTGAATGAGCAAAGATCCACAAAACAGGAAACATGTTGCGATCGGAAAGAAGTAAAAACAAGCCACCAAGCGTAAATGAAGTGATCAAACTCATGCTCAGCTGCGTGATCAATCAACTGAAGGAATCGACCAACCAAATTTGAAAAAGAGCAGATACGGATGCTAAAATGCTCATTCCTAAACTAATCCATATTCAAAGTCGTACAGATAAGCGTTTAGTTAATTATCATCTCATTTGAGTGAAAACATGCAACAACTAAATAAGGACTTATAACTCAGTATACACAACTGAGGACAATTTTAGTAAATATTCGTTTTATGATAAACTTTGTTTACGGAATCCATGTGTATTTTTTTATTCCACGCGAATAAAGTGTGGCGAGGAAGGACACATTAAGTCAGTGACTAGAACTACTGTCCATTTCACCACTAGTTATAAAAGACAGTTATGCAGATCTTAACAAGTTGGTAATTTTTTTAATCTCATACGATCATTATTGACTTTGTAGTGGCATTGGGCCCTAAACACATTTATTCCAAGTTTCGATTGTGCTTCTAGTTATCTTTTTAATTTTACTACTGATCTATATATGATTATTAGACAGATAGGTTCGATTATTTCGGATCATTATATCTGATTTTTGGTATATGCAAGTGGTTCAGTAATTCTCATAAACCAACAGTGGTTCATATTTTTCACTTAGATATACTTATGAACTTTGGACTGTAGCTGGAACTAGAACCTAATAAAAGCCAAACATAACTAGCGTCAGTAATTTGGAGCTATGATATTATTGCCGATGCAACCTCATTGGTATGTTGCCTTCACCAGGCCCTTAAAAAAATTCACTTTATACTCTTCAAATGGGTTTCACATTTCAAAATTAAACCTTTCAATAATTGGATCCACAACTTTTCTCCATGACAAAACTAAAATATACCACACAAACGTCGATACATTTATGGAAGATATCTGAAAATGGTGATGCATCTAAACAGTTACATATCCATAAACTTTCCAATGTAAATCCCGAGAGGAAGCATTGAGAGGTATGTCTGAAAATGTCATTGATCTTCGTGCAGAAAAAAGGGTTTGACCAGGCAGACAATTGCTCTTTACAAGCAAATTCTGACAAGACTATATTGGTGCGGATCTGTCGTTGCGATGATTTATACAACTCAACAATATATGGGATGAATTTACCAGAGGTTGTCAATTTAAAAAACTTATGAATCATTATATGCCGTAGTTTCGGAATCACAGATAACCATCTGACAATCATAGGTACATGTTTCACGCTCTTGTTGGTTAATGAGAAAACATTTCATAACTTGGCTGACGATGTATTCAAGATATGATACTCTAAGTTTATGGGACGGCTTTCATGAAACGTACTCCAGGCAAACTATCAGTGTTGTAAATGTGAAGCTAATATGCTAGAATGGACGTCAACATGTCACGAATATTCGGGGCTTGACAACGCTGTTGATCATAAAGATGCCACAGGTATTCAGATATTGACAACACCTTGACCAGTAATGCTATTTATAATCGAAACATTACAACCCAGTGAAACCAGATGTCAGATGCAAAGAAATCCGGAGATGCATTTGATAGGCTGTCGATAAATCGAAAAGTGATCAATCTAATCTGGCTAGTGGTCATGTATTTGGACCATGGCATACCCACTCATGAACTGGTGCGGGTGCGTAACTAAGCGCCTTCAGTTAGGTGGGCTCATCAAAACCAATGTCGTAGCATCAGATATCAAAGAAATACAGAGCTATTGATTTCGAGGATTCATTTACTGCTAGAAGTGTAACACTTTTATAACCGAGTATCCTAAAGCCAAGCAAAACAGAAGTCAAGAGCGAAGTTCATAGATATAGTTGAGATGCCGTTGGTATGCCGAGAAGTATGTGATATAAGCTTATTAGTTTTTGGAAGGGCTGTATACCGCGACATGCCTAATGGTAATCTGGCGTGGATGAGTAACCGAGGACCTTCAGATAAGGTGTGTCCAATGGAACTGATGAAATCAGCAACAGTGTCGAAGACTTACGAAACTATCTATGCCATTTAAAATGACTGATTCCTCACAGAGCTATAAGCGGAGAAGATTAGTGTAGGCCTCCCGACCTTTTTTACCTTTTCACCTAAAGATCGATTGAACAGTGAAAGTGCAACAATTTTGTGGTCCGGATACAAATTTTTCGTTGCTGGCTATCTTGGCTAACCCTCGACCAACATGAATATCTTTAGACTGTTAGGGGATATTTCCCACCTTGCCGCACTCATAATATTGTTATTAAAGATTTATTCCTCTCGTTCGTGCAAGGGTAAGTTATCTATTAACTGCTTTCAATTTTTGTAGGCCTCTCAGGAAAAACTCAAATTATGTTTGCGTTGGTGTTTACTGCCCGATATGTTGACTTGTTCGTATACTACATATCTGCATACAACACGATAATGAAAATTACATTTATTGTGTTGTCTTACTTAACGGTTTACTTCATTTATGTTAAGTTCAAGGCAACTTTAGACACAAATGATCATCTTTTTCGTCTGCCCTACTTTGTGATCCCCATTGGTGGCCTCGCATGTCTTGTCAACCACAAGTTTGAGTTTTTGGAGGTAAGTATGCATTAAATTAGTCTAATGAGGGTGTCCTCAAGTCAGTCACACCATCATCTTTCAAATAAATTATCCATTAATTACGCCGATTGTAAATATAATTATTTTGCAATGTGTAGATTTATACTGTTTGCAGTGAAACAATAGGTTTTGAAGTATACTTTGTATATTTAGCAATATCGCCTGTTCTATACTTATTAATAACATCTAAGCGTTAACACAGGAAAATCTGTGTTACATACAAATTCTCTATGGTTCATTCTCAATGTGATTGTGCAGTACTAATATTATCAAACACATAATGTACGTCACATTATTCTGGCGGTTTTTTATTGCTTGAAAGTTCGCACTCGTATTTTTCTAAACCAGGTCAAGTGCAAGTAAACCGACTGCATTTGTACTATCCCTCACTCCGACTTTTATTCCTGCAACTCAGTATGTTTGGTGCATTGCTAAAATCAGACAAGACACAAATTACCATCCATTAAGTCTTTCTATTGTTCTTGTAGGTTGTTATCTTTCCATAAATGCATTCATTTTTCAAATTGTCTATGGCATCATGGTAACCGTTTATAAAGGTTAACAGAAGTAGAATATTTCTCGTAAACATTTTGAAAACTGGCTTCCTTATGGATGTTGTTTGGTCTGATCACAGAAATGCGTCAAAATGAAGGATACTTTCATATCCACTCAAACGAGAAGTCCAATTATTCAACTTACAGAAAGGGTGCGGGTTTGAAGTGTATACTTACTTGTTGAGAGGTTACTGATATAACAATTAACTGCTGAACTCTAAAAAAAATCACATTCATATATTAGGGCTTCATCACTCATTAAGTTTCCAAGGTTGGAAAATCTGTTAATAAATGATGTTGCCGTCCCACTTTTCATTCATGGAGATTGACTCATTTGCACTTTAGGTTATTGTGAAGGATGATGTTGTACAAACTGTCAGCCAGTCTACGGTTATAATGTGGGAATATTTGGGGCTACATTTGTGTAAGGCTAATCTGAAATTATCCCCACCTTATGTCCCCTAATTAGTACTTCATTATATCGAAATCATGATTCCTAACAAAAATTTTAGATATCCTTTTAGGTGAACCGTCAGACTTAAATGTGCCATCCGAATGGAAGTTTGTTAGTGTATGTAAAATTTCTGCCAAGTGAGTCGAGGTTTATTAGGGCCGTTAAACAAGTTTTTAATACCTTAACCTAATAGTTATTGAGTGATTAATAGTGGCTCCTTACTATTCTAAATCCGGAACATGATAGATTCTCTGTGAATATGATTTAAAACCCGAATTTTTCGATGATTTAACGGTTATTTGCTCTAAAGACATCGTAAAACATGGTTGACAAGATTAATATGTTGAAATAGGTTGGAAAAAATGGCGGTTACTACTTAGTGTACGCGTTTCCTCCAACTATCTGTTTATTGTTAACGATAATGTGCGAAAAATTCACCTTTTTCATATAGAAAATTCTACGATATGTTTAATAGTACTTAAAATTTGTTTTGAAATGTAATCCATATTCAAATACTTATGTTATGTTCTTGATAGGTACTGTGGACATTTTCTATATATCTGGAATCAGTTGCTATTTTGCCTCAATTATTTATGATCAGTAGTACAGGTGAAGCGGAAACGATAACTGCGCACTATTTATTCGCATTGGGATCTTATCGTGCTTTGTATTTGGTCAATTGGATATACCGATATTATGTGGAAGATGTTTATGACTTGGTAGCTATTGTAGCTGGATGTGTCCAAACACTATTATACATTGATTTCTTCTACCTTTATGTCACTAGAGGTAAGAAGTCTGGCTCATATTTTGCTCGTAGAATTATGGCTTGATACACGAATGTTAGTGGAATTGTTGAGTTACATCGTATTGTCTGTCAGTTTTTCGGAACCATGACTTAACAACTTAGTGGTCTATGCAGAATAAATGGAATATGGCTGGTGGTGGAATCCAGGGTGAGCACTGTCCTATTTGGGACTTCCTAACCAGACGTACCTGCTTCTCAGAGTTGATATCCACTCCAAGATTCGAACCCAGTACCTTTAGCTTCAAATACTAACGCGTTATCTCTTAGCTAATGAGTCCACATAGCCGCTCACTTGTGGAATGGGTCTGAATTTCAATTCAATTTGTAATGGTTTAAACTATCTCGTTGTTAAGCATTTTGTGATTAGTTTCGGCATATGTTGCGTATCACATCAATATACTGGTTGTCACAAGTTTATATAGAGCAGATGAAATGTGGCTACCAGGCGAATTCACGACCCGCGTTTCGTCGTATTTAGGATTCATCACCTGGATCCCCCCATATTCACAGCTAGTCACTCCATCTACTCTATATGGACTTGCGACAATTGGTATCTTGAGGCAATCCTCGCAAGATGCACATATGTTAAGATTGATCAAATTTCAGTCAAAATATTCACCAGCGAGATAACCCAAGTTACTATAAATTAGGATTCAAGTAGTCTGTTTTCAGTCATTGGATTGCAGGTTTAAACCAAATTGTGTTTAGTTGAGGTAGTGTTGCTTATTAACATAAGCATTTTTCTTTTAACTACCTAGTGCTAAATTCAAGTCTTACTTCACCTATTTTCATTTATACAGCTGGATAGCATCGTCAACCGTAAAATAAAATGTGTGACTAAAAATCCTACATGCACCAACCTTTGCACAGTACATAGTTCCAAATATTTCTATAATCAATCAAATATAGATTAAAGTCTAGTATAACAATTTGCATTTATTTAATGACTTGCACTAACAATAATTTGATTGTCTCTAAAAACTGGAATGTACTCATACTCATATCTTTTCACTTAATGCGATAGAGTGTGGGTAGACTACGCTATTATCTCATACGCGCTGTATTCTTCATACTTTGTATCCAGTCATATTTGATTCCTCGGCTACCTTTTTAGCCTAATATAGGTTTGTATTAGAACTAACAATGTTACATATATTTTAGATATATACCTATATTAAGAATTTTCAGTTATATCTAAATTGATATCTCTGATACTGTTACTACTTCTACTCTTCTGACACTTGTCTTGGTAGTTTCATCTCACTTTGTTGATATGATGTTGCGACTTGGATTGATGCGCATATATTCTATGTTCTATGTTGTTTATGACTGATTGACTAAATTGATTGCAAGGAGTATGGATTATATGGAGACCCTAAAATCAATAAAGGTTGGATGATATACATTTTAGCATGAACTTCTATTTAAAAAGATGTGTACTTTAACTAACAGAAGAATAAATTGATGTCACAAGTAATAATAATCAATATGAAAAGAAAACAACTATTTGTTGTAAAAATCATGATTGGCTTACCACTCCTTGTAATTCTAATAGCTGAAAACCGTTGTTGTGTTATAAATTGAGTATCTGATGAGATATTTTGGTCAACATTTAAACCTATAGATTAAATATTAGAATAAAAGTCAATAATTGTGTGTGTACAATTATTTATTAATTCTTATGTATTGATACCTTTAATTAAAACAACTGTTTATTTTTAACTTGTTGTTCTATTTCATAGTACTCAAAGGTCGCCAACTTATTCTTCCAGTCTGAGAAAAAAAGGTGTGTTGTAATTTTCGATTAATACCTTGTTTAGCAATATTTCGTTTGTTCGTTTTCTCTCTCGTTACAATACTGGTTCATTTATCTTAGTGGTAAATTTGTTGAAAACATGTTCAAACCTCAAGTGCCCAGGTAAATCGATTCGTTGCTGGTTCTATTCAGTTAATTTTCTTCTTGAACTGTAAACTTTGCTTTCCTTCTCTTATCTATATGTGTTTTTCTATCCAGTATTATTGACTTCACTGTTTATGGTTTCATAAAAATATAAGTGACATGGAGTATTTGGTGTGTTTGTTTTATTTTATGTATTTATATATAAGAAAGTGTTCTCTTCGCTTCATTTTTCCTTGAAAATGTAAAACGCTTTCAACCCATATATATATATATATATATATATATATATATATATATATATAAACGCCGTTTTAATAACCGGTTAATATGTGTGTCTAAGTACCCAATAACAATACACTTCATTTTTCTATAACTTGCTTCACAACATACTTTATTATTTCAAAAACTTTTTTTCACTTATTTGTTTACTTGTCAAATTTTGTTAACACTTCTTTTTTGCTTTTGTTTGCTCTCCTCTTCCAAATAAATTAAACATCATAAATGCCTATTATACAGTTTTCTGACTTCTTATTTCATTTAAGATCGAGTTGAAACTACCTGTCAAGGCTAATGGTATAGGTTTTTCAAATCATCTTTTTATGCAGAAATATGACTTCGAGTCCTAACGCAAAAGTCGCGGTTATGAAAATACACGTCTTACTAGTGATTGGATGATAAGGAAAACACTTTTATTACAGAAATTCCTGTAAGTTATTTTACAGTCAACCGATAAATTTTCCTTTATTAATGTCACTAACTGACCTATGTTCGATATCCTTTGAAAATCAGGTAGCACAGGGCAGCTGTTTCGTCCTATTACAGGACTTAGCAATACGCATTCAGAGCTCCGCCACTGGAGATCGAACTCATAATCTTCGGTCTCTGCGAACATTCACACAAAAAGCTACGACTTTTCTCCAGTATTTATGTTTTTACGGACGTGTATCGATAAAGTTCACTCTTTGGTTGATAAGTTATTTACAAACATGGATCGACTATTTTCACTGTTAGTAAATTATGTTGGATTCGATGTTTTATTCATTGTGTAAATATTTTGAAGTAATCTAAATTATATTTAGTCTTTCTTGCCGTCCACCTCCAACCAACTAATGTCTTAATAGAGTATACATTGGCAATTCGCTTACAGTAGCGGGTACATCTTAACTTGATCGATAGAACTCGGTCAGTACCAAGTGCTGGACAAACGCGACATTGTTCACTACTCAGAGATCGATCAATTTTCAATATCTCAAATCTACATGAAATCAATCGCGGTCCAAACAGCCTGGTAATAATTTCCTTATCCGTAAAGCTAGATGATGTGAGTTCGAGTTCTACGGGGAGCATCAGTTTTCTCAGGACTGAAGGTATTTTTTACTGACAAGTGTCAGTTTTCAGGAGACCTAGGTTCAACTTTTCCTGTCCGATTACTTTCGACCACCCAACAGAGAAAAGGGTTCTTAGAACGTAAACTTTATTTACAATGAATTACTTTTTTATGACTATATCAGTAACAATCAGAGGCCATTTCAAAACATGAAACTAGAATATTATGGATATAAAGTCCCAACTATTTGCTGAATGTTAGTTTGATCCATCGGCTCAGTAGTCCTTTTAAGTAAGATAGTTTCGTGAGAGTGAATGTTAGAGTTGATCTGTTTTTCATCTCAACAGTCTTAGTACTGTTTGGAAAAATGATCATCATAAAGAGATGCCTAGAACGGTTGTCTATTGTGGAGCTGAAAGTGAACCAATAATTTAGCTAGTTATTATTCATTTGTCTCTTGTGATACATCTGAATTGGGTGAAAGACCGATTTTCTCTAGTTCTATGCATATTGCGAGCTCATTCAAAAGTTCTCCGAACTATTGATTGTTTTGTTGAAAACTCTAGTAACATTGATTGGTGAGAGGCTCAACGTCATAATGCTCTTATTAAATTACCAGTCGAAATAAATAGGATGAAGTGGTTGGATGTTTATTAGCTGTATTGAGAGATTAGTTAACTACCTTAATGCACATGAAATCTCATCAGAAACTTTAAATTGCCCGTTGTCACTGTCCTAACTGATAACACTGATCTAGACGATTGTCAACGTTATAGTACTTATAACAGCTTTACACTTTCTCTGGAAATGCATTTATGTGGTCCGGGAATCAAATATGTTGAATATAGGTTGTAATTATGTATTAAAACCATTTATTATTTCAATACATAACTTATTACGTAGTCACTAAATCAATAATGTGATTATAGCCTATGAATGTGTTATGTCGTGAAAATCCATAAACCAATGTCACGTGCCCAGTCACCAATTCTAATTTGGTCTGCCATTCACACTATAGTCTAGCGTCTTTCACTTGACCACTTACATACCTGAGCAGCACTGTTGACCTTGGAGTGACATCGAGGTTCCTATTGATCCACTATACGTTGGCTCCCTTCTATGCCCAGCTTCTGAGTTCAGAAGTTGCAGCCAGTCTACTACGTTTATATTCCAAACAGATATAGTTTATATGTAGAAATACAAGACCGCATCACAGCACAAAATGATGAATACCAATTATACATGAACAATCCAAAAGAAGTTCTTAGTAGGGAAAGCTGACTGGTAACAAATTAAGAATAGTAAGTTGCATGATACAAGTCAATGGGTTAGTCTAAAGTTTACGAATACTAGGATGTATATACGTAGCAATCTAGTTACTCAGTAATTATAAAATGAAATTATAATTAAGAATAATTCGAAAGATCAGTTCCAGCTTTTACAATATCCGTCCTGTTATAATAGATTGTATGAATGTTTCATTGATTAGGAAAGTGTACAACGTGTTTATAAGTCATCTGTTTTGACATGTAACATCAATCAAGGTCCGTAGTCCAGTGATTTGAAATTTCTAAAAATTCGATTCATAAATTGAAATGCCAATATTATACCATACTGTCGATACGACTGATGGCTAACTTGGTGAGACTATAATTTATGGACGACCTTTGAGCGACGCTGAAGTTACCTTGATAGTGTCCACCTAATAACCAGGACTAAATGCGGATTATAAACCAGTGTGAGGAAATAGAATTATGATTTGCAGTTGATGGTTAGGGTTAAGAATTAGATTTAACGTTTTCATCACGAACTGACATCAGCTTTAATGCCAAAACTCCATTTACCCAAATGGATGAATGAATTTCGCTCCAGAATCCGAGACCTGTTATCTTATACCTGATTGGTTTGTCCATAAATTATAGTCTCGTCATTAACGTTCATGTTATTAGGTGTGGCATATAGCTCATAGTAATATAAACGTGTAAATAATCATTAAATTTCATTTGTCTACTTTTTCATGTTATTGATATGCATTGATTTTAATGGTCTATTCGGTTAAACCATTATCGATAGTTTTATATTTCCCTCATGTTACAATGTATGAAATTCTATTTTCTTGAGGGAAGAAAACCAATTGATTGCAATGACGTAATTATAACCTTAGATATTTTTTACTTAATATATATTTTATACTTAGTGATTTATGGGAAGCTTTTTATTGTTAAGTTCTATGTATTCAAATAAGTGGTAAGATCTATTTACTAACAAATGTGTACTATATCACTATTGTTGTTAGTTGAATATGTGATTCTCAAAAAGGGGTTTTTGTGGATATTATAGTAATTTAATAGTTGATTTCATGAGTCAACTGAAGCTAGACCACCACGGAAAACCTGGATGCACTGGACGACCGCTTCGTTTTATTGTGGGACTCCTCATCAGTGCGCATCCACGATCCTGTCCCGTGAGATTCGAACCTAAGACCTATCGGCCCCGCGCACGAGCGCTTAGCCTCTAGACCACTGAGCCGGCATCCAACGGTGTTAATATCTAACTTCAACCAATCCACGAAATCGAGCCACCGTTCATCATTGTATTCAGTGAGTTACTATCTCACAACAGACCTGGTTGAATTCCACTGATCACTGCTTCTCATTCTAAGATAAACTAATAACTGAACGAGATCTTTGTCATGTTTCTGTTGAACACTTTTCAATAGATAATGATTTATCGATGAACATTAATCCTACATTTATCAAAGATAACTGAATTACAAATTCAGTAAGACATATTGTTAAATGGTTGGAGATAGTTAGTAGGAAATCCTGTCTACCATCGTCTTCAGTGAGTAACGTCTTCACAACAGACACGGTTTGACTCCATTGGTCACGTCAGAGTTTGAAACAGGAAATTGTGTAAATGATAAAACGTGAAACGATGTAGTAGTTGGATATTATTCTATCGACTCTCAAGAATGTTTTTAAATGAAGATGAAATAAATATGCTAACATAAACTAAAAGTGAATTTAAAAGAATATACCATTCATATACCCGTAAGATTATAAAATAAAGCGTTCATGAATTCATTCCATGCGTTTACTAGATAGACTACGTACATATTAAACCCACTTATTGTAAGTAAACTAATTTCCTTCTGTAAGTTGATTTCATAATTTTTACTCTAATTTATATAGTTACGACACTGGTGAAAAGTTCCAGGAAAAACATTTATTTGGATTTGTTCCATCTGAACGAAGAATAAATGGATGGTAACTGCTAGGAATTGTTATGGTCTATTATTACGTATATTCTTATTGGACAATAATTAAGTAACTAGATTGCTCCCAAATGCCCTGGTACGGCCGAGAGTGGGGAGAGTCCGCTCTCCCTCTCCAAATGCTCTCACATGGCCACGCGTATATAGCCTCTGCCAGGGAAGTCCCACCCACTGCCTTCTCGTGGCGGGGGTGTTGTTTATGAAATTGTGAGGACGAAAAGCGAATGTCCGGCGCTTTAACCAGATTCCAAACCAATGGTGCACATGGGCTCCAGTATCCTGCGGGAACAAATGCCGTATGAACCAATCGTTGGTCACCGGCTACCATGGGACTGCATCTCCTTACGATGATCCACTGCCTTGTGGATCAGACCTTCAGGTCCCATAAGAAAACCACCTGCTTCGGTTTGGGCACCCGTACAGTATCACAGTCCCCACACATATCGAATGAGATTTGTGTAGCGCATATATTTATGTGTTAAAATAAATAAGTCATAAATAAATAACTAAATTATGTATAAATGTTCATATTCCTTTTATCATAAGCTTTCATTTAACTTATTTGCTACTGTTATATAATTTGCTATTCTTAACTTATTCCTAATTTATCTGTTACAGTATCCCACAGCTACTTTTGGCTTGATCTTATGTGATTGTTATTTTTCATTTTATGGTATGATGCGGTCTGATCCGCTTGTATATAAACCACGTATGCCTGGAATATATAATTCATATAGCGGAGG